ACTAGAAATTTCTCTAGACATCGTCAAATGTTCTCCATAAGGAAAAGTATCCCTGATTGCAAACCACCAGGTTAGAGGCACTTCACCTATGAGTGATAGTGATAGTTCAAAGTTGGCTTACATTCTTTGTATAAGATCATCTGTTTCTACTTCCCCACTACCTTTAGGGTAAAGGCCTTGGAGTTTCATTCTGAACACACTGGTATTCATTTAACCCTCCCCCACCTCCTGGCAAACCCCAAACTTCAGTTTTGTCTTCTTATTCTTATGAGTCAGTCAAAAGTATTGCCTAATCTCTCCACTTGTAGCTTCTCTTTTCTTGATAGGCAAATCCTTCTGAGGCAGGTCTTGAAAAACTATGCCTGGCAGGCCAAACCTGCCAGTCACTGACTGTTGTAAATAAAGTTTTATTGGAAATGTATTTATAATTACAGTTACACTCATTTACATATGCACTACCTATGGCTGCTTTTGTACTAGGATGGCAGAGTTGAAGAGTTATGACAAAGACCACATGGCCCATAATACTAAAATATTTACTCTGTGGCCTTTTACAGAAAAAGTTTACCAACCCCTGCTGTACAATTTTAGTGTTTAATTACACTGATTTTATAATCATTGTATCTCTGACAACTTACACAAAATCGCTCTCACTTTCCATCGAGGGTACAATCCTTTCTAAAAATTACATAAGCTTTCTTAGATGATATTTTAGAATTTTTATCCTTTCTCCCTTCATTCAAAGGCCCCCACTTACTGAGCTCCTACCGTATATCAGTAACTATTCTCGACGTGGGGTATACAGAGATGAATTAAATAAATTTATCCTCTTAAGACTTGCATATGAGTCATGGCTCTGAGCCATGAACAAAAAAAACTCACCTTCAAATTTATGAATTTCATTCCTAGCATAGCCAACCCTATGTTTCCTGGCACACCTGAAGGTATCTCCCATTGGTGATGGAGCACTAATAGGAAAGATCACGACAGAGTGACAAGGCTGCTCTCCAGGGAGTCATAGTCTTCATATTATTCATATTCATCTTCTTTCTGGGTGACAGCAAGGAAAAATGACCCTTGTTTCATTCTGTCTCCTAAGTCTCTTTTTTTGACTTGCAACAGCCCCCACTGAACTGAAGGTCTGTTGCTCTCTCACTATCTCTGCTGGGAAGGACTAGGGAGAAGACTCCCAGCAATAATCCGTAAGACATCCAAAAGCAATGTTGTCTTTCTTGGCCAGTTTTATTCTGGCCGTCATGGTTGCTAAATCCTTATCCTCCAGGCTTCCAACTTTTATTCCCTCCCTTAGGGGAGAGTCAAGCCTACCTCTTAGAGCACCTTCTCCAGGATACCACATGCCTGCCAACTATGACTTAATAAATTAAATAAGCTCAGGCTTGGGGAAATGTCTCTTCAAGATTCCATCTGGAGGGTCAGTCTGTCCAGAATGGTACACATGCCAGGTGCTTTCCAGTCCAGCCATGTTCCTTTCAAAGCAAGTTGTTACTGATGGGTTACTGGTTCCTCAGCTAAACTTTGAAACCCCTAGACTCTATATAAGAACTTGTCATCACAGGTTATATAAGGTAAGTGGTGTTATTTCTATTTCAAATAGGAAAAATTGAATTTATTTATTTATTTTTTTCTTTTTTACTTCATCATTTGAGATACTATAGAAGGAAAAATTGGATTTATAATTTGAAGAATTTAGATGGCCTGCCTCAGTAGCACAACTCTGGTTAAGTAAGAAGTCATGGTGTATAGAGTATATTCACTGAGGAACCGGTGATAATCCATTTTTCTTTTTGAGACAGGGTCTCGCTCAGTTGCCCTCGGGTTGAGTGCTGTGTCGTCATCGCTCACAGCAACCTCAAACACTTGGACTCAAGCGATCCTCTTGTGTCAGCCTCCTGAGTAGCTGGGACTACAGGTGCTTGCCATAAGACCAGGCTAGTCTGTCCATCTTTAGTAGAGACTCTCGCTTTGCTCCTGCTGGTCTTGAACTCCTGAGCTCAGGCGATCCAGCCGCCTCCGCCTCCCAGAGTGTGAGGGTTACAGGTGTGAGCCATTGCACCAGCCTATATTTTCCTTCCTTAATTCATCCTTAATGCCAATCCTTATTCCTTATACACCACCCTACTCAGTAAACCCTTAGAAATGTTAATAATAATGATAATCATAAAACTCATATTTCTGCCACAGTCAGGAGTGTGCAACGTATTTTTTATTTGATCTTTCTTTTTTTTTTTTTTTTTTTGAGACGGAGCCTCAAGCTATCCCCCTGGGTAGAGTGCCATGGCATCACGCTCACAGCAACCTCCAAGTCCTGGGCTCAAGCGAGTCTCCTGCCTCAGCCTCCCAAGTAGCTGGGACTACAGGCGCAGGCCACAACGCCTGGCCATTTTTTGGTTGCAGCCATCATTGTTGTTTGGCAGGCCCGGGCTGGGGATTCAAACCCGCCACCGTAGGTGTATGTGGCTGGCGCCTTAGCCGCTTGAGCCACAGGCGCTGAGCCTGATCTTTCTTTTTGCATAATCCTGCAAAAGTGAAGAACAGGATTGCCGATGCATTTTCCTGAAGAGGAGCACAAGGCTCACAGGGACAGGGCTGGAAGTGATGGAGCCAAGCGGAGGAAGGCTCAGGTTTTGTGGGGCTTGAAGCTCGTGTCAGTTCAGGAACCTTATTTTAGAAAAACAATGCAAAACTATCAGTGTAAAATTAGGTACTTAAATGAATATTTATTTGGAATAAGACAAGAATTGTAACAAATTACAAACTTACAAATGCTTACAAATGCATGAAATACCATGAATACCAGAAAAATAATACACTTTGTTATTATAATTTTAAACACATTTATAATGCTTTCCCTCCAAATTTTGTGGTTGATTATTCTTTCATTGCTCTTCTTATGACAATGGTTTTTGTATCTTATTTCTAAGAGAAAACCGAAAGATACCAATAATTCAATCTTTGCTCTAGTATGGCTGATCAAAAATTTAAATGTATTGGCTCGGCGCTTGTTGCTCAATGTTTAGGGCACTGGCCACATACACCGGGGCTGGCAGATTTGAAGCCTGCTAAACAACAATGACAACTAGAACAACAACAACCACAAAAATTTAAATATATTAGTGGTAGTTTATGAAAGCTATTTCCAGTTTCTTGACTTGTCAATAATGCCACTTCTGTAACTTCCTCCATCACTTCTGGCTCAGGTGGTGCTACAAGCTGGGGCAAGACCTTGGAGAGTTCTAGCTCTTTGATGTTGATCTCCTGGCACCTCACTGCAACCCTGTAGCTCTACCAGGTCCTGACCACCCCCAGTATGCCTGTCCTGGGTTCATAATATGGCCATGAAGCAGGTTGCAACGCACCATCTGGTTGACATTTTTTCTTGAGGTCAAATATGCGTTCAGTTTGGTGCATGACTGCAACCAAGGACAGATAATAAGTGGGGGTTGCCCAGATGTGAAGATAGTAGGTCTTAAAGACCACCATCAGGGGGGCAGCACCTGTGGCTACCTGTGTGCCTACTTAGTGAGTAGGGCACAGGCCTCATATACCAAGGGTGGTGGGTTCAAATCCAGCCCTGGCCAAACTGCAATAAAAAATAGCTGAGTGTTGTGGTGGGCGTCTGTGGTCCCAGCTACTTGGGAGGCTGAGGCAAGAAAATCACCTAAACCCAGGAGTTAGAGGGTGCTGTGAGCTCTGATTCCACAGTAGTCTATGAGGGCAACAAGGTGAGACTCTGTCTCTAAAAAAAAAAAAGATCACCATCAGGACCTGAGTCCCCAGGCTGGGACAGCACCTCCTGTCTCTATGCCCAGATGGGGTTGCTGCTTCCTGTCTTCATCCTGTGCTCAGCTTTGGAAGGGGCTCTGGTAAGTGATGGCCTGAAGGTTAAGCTTCATGAATTTCATGGTAAATGGTCCTTTGCAGCCAAGCTCAAAAACTACAAGTCAGATCTTAGAGACCGTGGTCTCAAATTTCTTGCTTTCATTGCCTTTCTAAAGGTTTTTCTAAAGAATATATATATATATATATATATTTATTTATTGAGACAGAGTCTCAAGCTGTCCCCCTGGGTAGAGTGCCATAATGTCACAGCTCACAGCAACCTCAAACTCCTGGGCTCAAGTGAATCTCTTGCCTCAGCCTCCCAAGTAGCTGGGACCACAGGTGCCTGCCACAATGCCCAGTCATTTTTTTCTTCCAGTTGTCATTGTTGCTTTTTTTTTTTTCTGGCTGGCCCGGGTTCGAACCCACCAGCCTCGGTGTATGTGGCTGGTGCCCTACCCACTGAGCTACGGGTGCTGCCATAAAGAAAAAAACATATTGTGGAGGTCTGTGGCTAAGGGAGGATAATGAGTCTATTTATTCTTCTGGATTCTTTAAACATGTCCATGGATTATGTCGTGTTGGATCTAGAGAACCCCTGTCATGGAACTGTGTGCTGTCAGCCTATGTCTAGTAACCCTTTAAAGAAATGGCCCCATGGAACTCTTCCTGGAGTCTAACATGAAGTTGTCACAGAAGGTGTTCTCTGTCACCATGATCTTTAATTAGCCATCATTAATTAGACAACAGCTTTATATAGCTGGAAGCAGTGTCTGCTATTCGAACTTTCTGTGATGATTTTCTTTACTTTGTAAAACAACTCATCAAATGTTAGGATTAACCAACTGCTTGCCAGCTTCTTCTTGTCTGTTTGAAAAGTCTGAAAAGTGTGTCCTTACGGCCTACCACTAGGTGCTAGTGTTTTCCAGCAAAGAAACCAGACACGGCTCCAGCTTTTATGGGATCCATATTCTAGGCAGGGAAAGTGCAAACTTGAACTTAACAGGACAGAGTTGTGAGGGTTACGGTAGGGGAAGGCAGGGCATGGGTGGACAAAGAGAGCGACCAGTTCTGCCTGGAGTGAATTGGTGATGATTCCAGTTTTTCATTTAATACGAACCTGGAAGCATGGGTGGGAGCTCATCAGAAATGTGGGTTAAGTGCTCACTTCGGCAGCACATATACTAACATTCCAACAATATGAAGAAGATTAGCATAGCTCCTGCACAAGACATGCACATTTGTGAAGCAGTCCTTATTTTTTCTAAGTGCCCACCAACCCAGGAATGGATTAATGAGCTAGGATATATTTAAAGCACGGTATACTATTCAGCCATGAAAAAGATGGAGACTTTACATCTTTTGTATTAACCTGGATGGAGTGGAAACACATTCTTCTTCTTCTTCTTTTTTTTTTTTTGAGACAGAGCCTTAAGCTATCCCCCTGGGTAGAGTGCCGTGGCATCACAGCTCACGGCAACCTCCGACTCCTGGGCTCAAGCGAGTCTCCTGCCTCCACCTCCTAAGTAGCTGGGACCACAGGCGCCTGCCACAACGCCTGGCTATTTTTTGGTTGCAGCCATCATTGTTGTTTGGTGGGCCTGGGCTGGATTCGAACCCGCCACCTTAGGTGTATGTGGCTGGTGCCTTAGCCACTTGAGCCACGGGGGCCGAGCTAAAACACATTCTTCCTGGCAAAGTATCATAAGAATCGAGAAGCAAGAATCCAGTGTACTCGATACTAATGAAGCCAGTAGACGATCTAATACATGTCCACATAAAAGAACAGCTCCAAGCAATTCAAGGTGGGGGACAGGGAGCAGAGAGAGGGGAATAGGTTTGTTCCTACTTATGGGCACAATCTTAGGGTGTATGGCATGTCTCTTGGGAGAGGGACACAATTGTAAGAGGGACTCTACCTAACAAATGCAAACATTGTAACCTAATTCTTTGTACCCTCAAATGAACCTGAAACGATACAAAGAAAGAAAGAAATGTGGGGAAAGTCCTTCAGGACAGAAAGAAGAGCAAGGGCTCACGTGTAGAGGGGAGAGGGTGTGTGGGCCTTGGAGAGAGACGCGGTTCAGTAGGGCTGGTTTCTAAGTAGGAGAGGGGATGAGGAGCGATGAAGCCTGAGTTGTGAGCAGGGGAAGTGCATCAGTGGAAAAATTCTGTGGAGACAGGGAAGGGTGAAACCCCACTCAGGAGAAGTGAGTGGAGGTGCCCAAGTGGAGATTCCCTCGGGAAGAAGAAAACCTCTGGGGCAGCCAAGACTTGGGTTGGATTCCAGCCCCACCATTGACCAACTGGCTGTGTTGCGCATATTTCTCAACTTGCTGACCCTCGGGTTCCTTGTCTGTGAACTGGTATTATAGTTGAAGATTAAACAAGATGATGTCTCATCTGTTTTAACGAGCACAGTCTGTTCTCTTTAAAAAGTCGGAAGTCCTTGACCACACCCTCCAGAGCTCAGGATTTAGATGAAAGACTGACAAGGCCTGCCTGGCCCATTCCCTTCTCCATTCCAGGAGGCCACAGAGAGTTCAGTGCCAGGTTTCCTAGGAGTAAGTTCAGCATCTTCTCAGGTCCTCCCCAGCGGGCCCATCTCTTACCTCACTTAACCTGACCCTCCCAGCCAACACTAGGGGGTGGTTCAGGGGAGCCGGTCTGCAGAGGACGAGGAACAAACACTCTGGCATGTGGATCTCACAGACATCACAGTTACTGTGCTCCGTGGATGGCGTGGTCTCTATAGAGCCTGCCAGAAGATAAGCTTTCCCACAGAAGGCACTTCAGTGGTGTAGGTTTTTTCTGCCTGTCCAGGGTGAAGTCCTGACTGTCTGGGCAAAGCACTGGGGTGAGAGTTAGGAAGGCTGATTAACCCTGACGCTGCAATAAAAATATAGTTGTATCAGCTGCTTTTAATTAGCTTCAAGCAGGCTCTGACGCCTGGGTTCTTACCATGGTCTGTATCTTTCTGATGCACAGGCCACTAGGTCATCTAACAGTGCTGATGTCTCCGTTACCAGCTGGTATGTGGCAGGGGCAATCAGTTACATCCAAGGTGCTGTAGGAGGTGAGCCTGGTGGGCTGTCCAGGGCCTGAGCAAGGCTGAGACCAGCCTCACGCACCTAAAGTGCTCCACTGGCATCCACCTGCTGCCACCTGTCACACTCCTTTGTGTGGGGGTAATAAAAGGACTCTGAGCTGAAATACCACCACTTCAATTTGGAAATTCTGGGAATGTCAAAAGGACCATTAGAAAACTCTAAGCTCCTAATTTTTTTTTTCCAAACAGTCTGGAAAAAAATCCAGCACATCATGAATCCTATCTTTTGTTTTGGTGATGGAGTTACAGGGGATCTCATTTTGCTCACCGTTCTTGTAACATCAACAGGATGAGAAAGACAGTCTCCCCCGCTTTTTCTAAGAGAAAAAAAACTGGAACCCAGAAAGAGTAACCTTATAAATGAGTTGCTGGAAGCATCTAAACTTTGCAGTCTTTGCTGTGACCATGGTCTCCCCCGACATGGCCTCATGTTATCCTTACGATACTTTAAGACATAGGTGTAGTCTTCATCTTTCACATGAGGGAGTGGATCGTCTCAGAGAGGTACAGAGAGCTGACCAAGTCACACAGGGCTTGAAGGGCTCAGCTTGAATCCCTGCCCAGCGCACTGCCAAGGTGAAGGCTAGAAGAGCCTGTTCCTGGCAAAGCCTCAGATCTGAGTGCCGCGTGTTCCCCTTGGGCCACGACTGTGCCTCCTGAGGCTGCTCTGTGGTCCTGAACTCAAGCTGGGCTGCACCTGCCCCACGGAGTGCAAAGAAAGCCCTTGGAGATTGATGGAGGAGGAGGTGGCATCTGGATAACAAGAGAGTTATTCTATCTGACCTTGTGGGGATGTCGGAGGGGAGGGGCTGGAAGAGAAAAGTGAGATAGCACACTGGGAGGCCAAACCCCCACACTTACAAAATGCTCTGGGGCATTTTGTCTCAGTTGTCATGTGTGGTGATTTCCAAGCTTTTGTGTTTTATCCTGCAGAAGAAAAATATTTTCAAATATTATCCAGTGAAGTTTTTTTTTTTTTTAAAGAGATGTAATTTTTACTTTCCATCAATCCCACTATTTAAACTAGACCATGAAACTGAGTTCTCTTGCCATGTCAAAAAACTCAATGACAACGAAAAGTCATGTTTATGTTTCGGCATTCCAACACTGAACTTTGAAAGAGGCGGAATTTAATTGTCAGGATCAGTCTCTTGAGGGAGAACTGGCTGTCTAATTGCTGAAATTTACCAAACTGTTATGATATAGTGAGCAATGTTTCAAAGCTTACATGGATTGTTTAATTAAATCTCACGCTTATCACTCTAGTCTTTTTTTTTTTTTTTTTTTTGAGATAGAATCTTACTCTGTCACCCTGGGTAGAGGGCTGTGGCATCATAGCTCAACCTCAAACTTCTGGGTTAGAACAATCCTCAAGCCTCAGCCTCCTAAGTAGCTGGGACTACAGGCACCCTCCACAACACCCTGCTAATTTTTCTATTTTTAGTAGAGATGGGGTCTTGATCTTGCTTAAGCTGATCTCTAACCCCTGAGCTCAGCTGATCTACCTGCCTTGGCCTCCTAGAGTGCTAGAATTACAGGTGTGAATCCTCACAGCAGGCCTATTGCTGTGGTCTTAAAAATGAGGAAGCTGATACTCAGAGAGGTTAGTTAACTTGTCTGAGGTCACTCAGCTAAGAAGTGGTAGAACCAGGATTTGAACCCAGGTATTTGGTTCTGGGCCCATGTTTAATCACTCAACACCTTGTCTCAGATGTTGGGTGGTCTCAAATTAGGGAATATGGGAGGGAATAAGACTGCCAGTCTTCCCCCAAGAAGCCCATGGCTTGAGTCTCCTGCTTTTGAGACTTTATTTGGGGCTTGTAAAGTAGGATAAAAGAGGTGCTGTATTATTCATGAGAAAAAGAAAGTAAAAAGAAGGGAATTGTTTTACTCAAGGTCATAGAAAGACAGTTGGAAAAGGCAGTGAGAAACCATGTGTCTTATCAGCATCTTTTTTTGTGTATGTTTTTGAGACAGAGTTTCACTTGTTGCCTTCAGTAGAGTGCCTTGGCGTCACAGCTCACAGCAACCTCAAACTCTTGGGCTCAAGTGATTCTCTTGCCTCAGCCTTCTGCGTACCTGGGACTACAGGCACCCACCACAATGCCTGACTATGTTTAGAGGCGGGGGTCTCACTCTTGCTCTGCCTGGTCTCGAACCTGTGAGCTCAGGCAATCCGCTTGCCTCAGCCTCCCAGAATCATCAGCATCTTTGTGTCCCTTCTCTATGGTGGGAGTGCTCTCCATCCAGCAGACGGAGCTCAGTGCTAACGCCTGGGCAATTAACTAAAGCTTCCCTTGGGCCCCATCTCCAGAGCCCAAGAACACTGGGGGCCAAGGATGGTATCTGGTGAAAGGAGGCAAAAACAGAGCACAGTTTGCTTTGGAATTTTGGTTACACTTGCAGCCCCAGATATAGTGTCCCAGGCCCTGGGATAAAGGTGGATTCTGGGACAGGGGAAGGTCTATTGATGGAGGCATTTATGGGTATTTTCAGAGAGGCAGCATCTGTCAGAGATTTATGGATGTGGTGATGGGGAGACCAGGACTGTCTAGTTCAGAATTAGAGGAGCGTGCTTATAATCAGGACTGTTACAGAAATTGTCCTTGGTAAGGAGACGGAGAATGTTGTCAACCTGGTGAGAGAGAGAGAGAGAGAGAGAGAGAGAGAGAGATATCTACCATAGTGCTGGTCAGAGACTTTTCTCCTGGACTTCTACCTGCACCTCTAGGATCAGCACTAGGCCTGAGAAACCCCTTACCTACGGCGTTTTGGCATTTGATTCTTTGAACAGACTATCCCGCAGAAGGCAGAACAGCACTGAAGTCCTTTCTGGCAATCTTCCTGCAGGGTACAAAACTGGGTGCAGTTTTCAGGGTCCCATCTGCAGGGCGGAGGTTCCAAGATATACTCTGAAACACAGAACAGGTAAGAGAAGGGCCTGAACAACAGCCTGGAGTGCCATCTGGAACTCAGAAAGCCCGGGGAGCTGCTGGGACACCTGCCACTCTCATCTCCCTTGCGTGGTCCCAGGGAGGTGGAATCAGGCTTTGTCCTTAGCTGCTGACTTCCTCTGAGTTCTGAGCAGGGAACCAGGGCTTGGATGTTTGATCAAGGACGGAGTTTGGCAGAACCCTGCACCCCATGGGTCATTTACCTTGTAGGCCAGTGCATTCGCTCTGGGCTGACTCACTGTGTTGGGTCCATTTCAGTGATATGAATGGAATGTGTGGTGAGCGAGAAAGAAGTTTGCACATTCACTCTGCACTGACTCGCTGTGGGGTGTTGAGCAAGCTGCACTGCCTCTTACTAACTATGTGGTTTACTCTAGAACCAGCCTAACAGGGGCTGTATGTGGGTGGGAAGAATGGGGTGGAAGGTGAGTTTTGGTAAAGGATGAAGACACGGTAAACCAAAGGTCCTGGATCAGAAAGCCAGGACCCAGTTCCCAGGTAAGTTCTGGAAATGAATTCCTTCATGGTGAGAAGGGTGAGAATTTCAGAATGGGATTCAAACATTCAGCTTCTCCTTCTTCCTTGGTGTCTCCTGATCAGGCCAGAGCACCAGAATGTCCCCACTTTCTACTACTAGAAAAGAATAAGCATCTTCATGATGACACCCTGAGTATCTTTCCCCCAAGTATTTCAGTTGATAGCTAAGGCGTTGTCTTGAGGCTCCAACCCAAAGTCTCCTCTCTGTTCTTGAGCTCTCGGGATAGGCCTGTCAACCTCTTTCCTCAAGTCCTGCCAGGCTCCAATTTTCTGCCTTGTAACTTGCCCTTTTGGGGGGCAAAAGTCAAAGGTGGGGCATTCTATTGTCCACCTGTTGCTTTGTGAATTTGCAGATATTTGCATCTAGAAGGGCGTCGGTAGATTATCATGATGATTTGAAAGGAGGGAAGGAGGAATGAGTGGGGACTGTAGTATCTGCAGTAGTTAATACGCATTGAGCATTTACTATGGTCTAGTAAGAGTGCTCTGAGTCTGCACACATCATCTGCTTCTTCTTCCAACTACCCTGAAGTCAGATCCTTTATAAGGACAAAATCTGAGGCCCAAATGCTTTGCCCAAGGTGACACAGTAGGCCACAGAGCAGGAATTCCAGCCAATAAAGCTTGGACTCTTACACATGACACAATTTTTCCTCAAGGTGTGCTGGACTGTCAGCTCTTAAATCACTCCTCACTTCTCTATAGATCCTGCTTCCCTCCTGGGCCCAGATTCAGCACCTACTTAGGAAGCGATGCCTGAGACTCCCAGGCACCTGCAGTGCTAGGCTCACCACCAGCAGGAACTGCACAGGCTTCATGGTGCCAGCAGGATGGGCAGGTGAGTCCTGGCTGAAGCCTGCTGGCTTTGACCAGGCTCTGCTGTGAGAAGAGAGGGACAGAGGACAAAACCACAGTGGAGGCACCTGCCACTGGCCTTTCACCGTGTGTTCCAATCAGGGAGGGCCTGGCCCCAATCCAAGCACCTCCCAGGCCCCTGTAGGGCCAGATCCTGTTTTCATAGCTGTATTCCTTAACCCCCCTAATTTTTTGTTATGTCTTTCATCTACCTAGATCTTAATATTTCTCTGGGGAGATCTTGCATGTCTTTGTTCTATTTATTCCCAGAGGCTGGAATTTAAAAAGTGAAATTGTACATGCAGCACCTGTGGCACAGTGGGTAGGGCGCTGGCCCCATATACCGAGGGTGGTGGGTTCCAACCCGGCTCCAGCCAAACTGGGACAAAAAAGTAGCCGGGTGTTGTGGCAGGTGCCTGTAGTCCCAGCTACTCGGGAGGCTGAGGCAAGAGAATCACCTAAGCCCAGGAATTGGAGGTTGCTGTGAG